TCTCTCTTTCTCTCTTTCTCTCTTTCTCTCTTTCTTTTGTATATAGTTGTTGTTGTTGTTGATTGAATTCAGTTGAAAAGAAAATTTCTTGCTTACGAACGACGACGACGTGAACGACGTGAATTATATCTCAAAAAGAACTCACGATAGATGCGAACGACAGTCACGATGAAGGAAGATAGATGCGAACAATTCACGTAAAGAACAATATTCAAAATAATACTAAATCAAGACCTTGATGGACCGAGGTGAGTTCGTTAAAATTCTTACGTTATTTTCTTCTCTCTGGACGTTAATTCTTCTCTCTGATTAATAATTCGTGGTTGTTTATGTCATTATATTCGCTGATGTTTATACTTTATCTTGCATATAAATTCGAATAAGAAATTATACAGTCCTCTGACTTTGATATAGAATTTGATCTTCAAGACGAATGAACCTATATGGTAATTCTAACCTGCCAAGTAAATAGATCTTAACTATTTACATCTTAGTAGTGATTCCTGGCAGGTAATTCTCTAAATATACTCATAAAAGCTAAAAGAATTCTGTTGCTTATGGAAGCTGATAATATGTACGACCTTGTTCCTGGTATATTCTTGCATGATTGCTATGCTGTTGATATGGCAATGGGCTTGGCAATGGGCTAGAGGTAAACCTGGAACTCGAGGGTAATGACATGTTTTCTGGAACTTGAGGGTAATGGGGTGGAGATGTAATTGCTTGATTTGGGGTCTCAGTTTGCAATAACATTTGCATCATCTTAATTTCATGTTGGCGTGATTTTTCAGCCTCCTCTCGTGCAAAAGATATGAATTCTTGCATTGAATCATTCTTGATGAGTTCTTTCAACATGCCCTTTATTTCTTCCATGTTGTTTTGCTTTCCCCTCCTCGATGCCTGTTTTGCTGGCACAAAAAGTGCTTTACACGTTTCTCCATCAACTGCAGGTGTCCCTTCATTGGAAAAAGAACCATTATCATTAGCCTGCAGCTCTATTGCTTGCTCAGGTTGGCACGAGCCTCTTGTTTTTACAAGAGAAAACAATTGATCGAACCACGCTCCATGTCCTTTCTCCTCCTGGAACCTTTTAATTCCAGTTGCTGTCTTCATTGTGATGGCAACTTTTTTACATTCACAGACTGCTCTCTTGAATCGTGTGCGCAATTGCTTTGCATCAAACACAACAGTTACATCCTTTTCCTTAGCTCTGACTTTTAGCTCTTCAATTATTTTGGCATATATTTCACCATTGCGTTGGTTTTTTGTGTTTTGGAAAATCAGCTTTTACGATAGTACTCATTGTTTACTATGATGTCAACTGCATCACCAAACAGATAATCATTTCATCTTGATTTTCTGCCGACCTTCTTTTTTGGTTTTTTCTTCCGGATAATATTCAATATATCATCACTGCCAATCGTTTCTTCCTTGGAGTGACCAGAATCATCAGAGTCTTCTTCTGATCTGCAAAAAAGAGAACTCCAATAAAGGGGCTGTTCAATAATTACGTCATGCTAAATTTGCCTTTTAGAACCATCATCCCCCCTCGTCACAATCCTTTACCTTTTTGTATACGACGTTTTTATATAGCATCACAAAAAAACAGAAAGAACCACCCACCTCCCTAGCGTGACGTAACTATTGAACTGCCCCTAATATAAAATGTTTATACAGTCACACTGACACTGGACATGATCACCAACAAACTTGCTGGAATGGAAATTTTCCCAGTATTAACAATGGCAAAACAAAAACTTAAATCGGTTCCCATTAGCCATTCATCATCACAATATGATGGGGGGGTGGTGGGGGGGGGGGGGGGGTTTAGGCCTATGTTGTTATATATGTGATAGTGGGCCTAAAAAGACCAGTTGTCTGTTGTCATAATACGGAAAAGATTGAGAATACACTAAAAAGGTGGGATATCACTAAAAAATAAAGACCAGAAACAAGATAATAAAGCGATTACTTACCTAATTTCCATATTTTTGCCAGTTATTGGAGAGATTGATGGATAGTCATGAACATCTTCTTCCATATCTTCTACGTCTCGATCTCCAGCCCCACCAAAAAGGTCACATTCTCCGCAATACCTTACTTTACTTTGAGCCACCCAGCCTTCCTTCTCTTCATCTGGCTCTGCTACACCTCAAACAGTGCAAACTGGGCAATCGCATCGTATACACCGATATTTTGTCTCATTTGAACAAACCCTGCACTTGCTTCTCCCAACGCGGGTTGCAGCCATTTTTTGTTTGTTTGTGCAAATCTGCTTCTGCTTGACGCGCTTTTTGCTGCTGCGCATGCTCAATAGCTAATTTCATGCGAAATTAATTATCCATGATTTATGCATTTCATTCGACACATGTGAAATACGGCGCTTGACACAAAATTGTATCAGGGTCGTATTTTCGAATTAAATTCGACCGAGCCTGACGAATTTAATTATGGAAGTCGACTTTAATGTTAGACAGTCGTATTTGATCAATTAAACGCCGTATTTTACATGTGCAAAATGTAACAATGGAATTCGACACATGTGAAATATGACGTATAATCTGGGCCTTAGAGCAAGTGCTTGGATAATTGAATTCATAAGACCATCGATGGAATTCATAATTCGAAAATCGAAATATTTAGCGTGCCCCTACAAGAAATGATAATAAAGCCTGGTTCCCACTTGGTCGTTTGGGTCGTTTGGGTCGTTTGGGTCGTTTTAGTCGTCAGAGTCGTTCCTGAAAGACACGAACGACCCAAAGAACACATTGGTTTCCACTTGGTCGTTTGAGTCTTTCGAGTCGTTTGTTGTTGATGCTGTTCATTGCTTGCACCATGCATCGCTCATTTAATTTTGGCGGCATGCGTGGAAGGAACGATGGTAGCATTTGATAAACAACAACTGATGTTGCAAAGTCAGCTATTTCTACCTCTGGTGACTTTGTACAGACGGCGATGTTAGATCACTAAATTTCAGTGCAATAGCTTGCCATGATTTGATATTTTTGTATTTATTTTTAAACTATTTCCAGTAATTGTTATAATGGCACTCGTATTTTTGAACTTCTTCCATAAAGCTTTCTGTGAAATATTCAGCTATCTTGTTCTTGTTCTAGTCAAACACGCTGTTACAAGAAAATCTCCTATTCTTGGAGAAAAAGTTACTAAAGCGTGGGTCGTTTGAGTCGTTTGAGTCGTTTGTCGGTTTCCACTTGCAAAAATCATTCATGCGCGGGTATTTTGGGTTATTGGCAGGTCCATTCCCACTGTGTCTTTTCAGTCGTTTGGGTATTTTCCAACGACCCAAACGATCCAAACCACCAAGTGGGAACCTGGCTTAATGGAGGAATCTGATTGCTTTCGAATAATAGAACTTAAGCACGTATACACCGGCATAAAAGACTGAAGCACAGGCAATCCACCTCTTTTTGCGATTATCGTAGTTACAGAAAGACATACATACTTTTCAAAGTGAATTTAACAGGTGATTTACCTCTACTTTCAACACTATTTTGTAAAATATAGATGTTTTAGACGCTTGTACTTGTTTTTAATTACTTATACCTGCTTTTTATTGTTAATAGTCAATTTTTTACTTACTTGCGATAGCTTATATTCTTTTTAAGACATTTTTTAAAATTATTGCCCACCTGAAGCGAAATAGGCTGGTCTCTACGACTCAGAACTCTTTGAAATAAGGTATAGGTGTGCCAAGAGACGTCGCTTCAGGTACCTTAGGTTATAGTGTTTGTGTGCTTACAATCCCCCGTTCAATGCTTAGTACCGACCTTAGTCTATTGACTTTGTACACATGAGTATTGAATAGTCATCTTGTTGAGGTCTAAAGATGTGCACGGGGAGCGTTTGTTACACTAACCAATAATTAGGAACAATTAGATTTTTTTATTTTTTTACTTTCATTTCATTCCCTGATTTATTTCCTGATTTATTCCAAACATAAAACAATTTAGTAAATACCACTACATTAAATGTTTAGATTACAATGGAGTACCAAAGCGACGATATGGTAGCAAATAACGCTAGAAAGATAGGATTGAGGAGGAGTGGGTACATCCTAAGATCAATGAGATCAGTAAATCGGAGGATGCTGTGAGTACATTTTTACTTCAACATTTTTTTAATATAAAACTTTTAATTTTTACAACCATCATTTTTTGCGAGTGATGCAACAACATTAGTGGTTGGATTGGGTAATTTTTAGATACAGGTTGTGATGTTAGGGTTTTTTATTTCAGGGAACTAACAAACATGTTCCCCGAAGCGGCAACAACATCCGATGATGCGGACATTGAGGAGGAGCACCGCAGAGAAAGGTTGGCGAGGAGGAGGAGGAGGAGACGAATGCGAGCGGCAACCCTCCTCGGAACAGCCCTGAGGATGGAGGTGGAGGAGCGGTCACAACAAGCGCAATCACCGGAATCAACGCCACCCCCCACATCACCAGAATCAACGCTGGCCCCACATCACCACACAGATCACCTCCAACATCACCTATCAGATCACAATCACCATGGTCACCCCCATTATCACCCGTTCCGCCAATTTATCCACCATTACAAACACCAATCACCATCTCATCAGATGAAGAGGAGGAGGTCCTCCACCTCCACAACCTTCTCAACCTTCTCACCAACCTTCACAACACAACCTCCACAACATCCCCAACAACAACAAAAGAGACAATGACGTTATACGCATAAGATTGCAACAGATTAACTAACAAATCGATGGGGTGGACGGTGGTGTTGAAGATAACACAAAAAAGAGCAAATACCAATGCAGGATTTGCTTAAAGTTCTTCGACAGAGCACAAAAACTGAACAATCATTTGAGATTTATGCACAATGATCACACAATTGTTGGAGGTGCCAGACCAAATGCAAGAGCAGCAAATCAAAACAATCCAGGGTATACAATAAAAAAGATTGACAATATAGACAACTTTCACGATGTTACGAGAAACATTATAGACAATGTTATAGAAGCATTCCAAAATTACAATCAAGGAGTGAAATACTATGTATTCTTAGATGTCGAATTCAAAAAGATGTTGGAAGACACAATCACAGATCCGCCAACCACATTTAGAACAGAAATGTACAGACTCCTTAGACGTGCACCAAATGACATTAACGATCAAGCAACTCAAATCAGAGAAACTTTGAACAATGGCATTGACACGTTTATTCAAAATGGAAGTGGTTGGGTCTTGAACAAATTTGGAAGGATGCAAGTGAAAATGTTTGATTATAGACCAATGGCTGGTGGTGGTGGTATCTCAGCGGGGTTTTTTCAAGCACCTGAATGGTTTGTTGCTAAAAATGAAATTGTCAACGTGCAAAACACAGATGAAAAGTGTTTCCTATGGTCAATCCTAGCAGCTCTATATCCAGCAGTAAAGAACGTTGCAAGAGTTACTAAATACAAACCATACGAACACGAGTTGGACACAAGCTGCCTAAAATTCCCTGTAAACCCAGGAAACGAGACGATGCTGGTAAAGTTTGAAACAAGCAACAACATATCCTTCAACCCAACAACCTTCGAATAATGGAACTTAAGCACGTATACACCGGCATAAAAGACTGAAGTACAAGCAATCCACCTCTTTTAGCGATTATCGTAGTTACAGAAAGACATACATACTTTTCAAAGTGAATTTAACAGGTGATTTACCTCTACTTTCAACACTATTTCATTAAATATAGATGTTTTAGACGCTTATACTTGTTTTTAATTACTTATACCTGCTTTTTATTGTTAATAGTCAATTTTTTAATTACTTGCGATAGCTTATATTCTTTTTAAGACATTTTTTAAAATTATTGCCCACCTGAAGCGAAATAGGATGGTCTCCACGACTCAGAACTCTTTGAAATAAGGTATAGGTGTGCCAAGAGACGTCGCTTCAGGTACCTTAGGTTATAGTGTTTGTGTGCTTACAATCCCCCGTTCAATGCTTAGTACCGACCTTAGTCTATTGACTTTGTACACATGAGTATTGAATAGTCATCTTGTTGAGGTCTAAAGATGTGCACGGGGAGCGTTTGTTACACTAACCAATAATTAGGAACAATTAGATTTTTTTATTTTTTTATTTTCATTTCATTCCCTGATTTATTTTGAGATTTATTCCAAACATATAACAATTTAAAAAATACCACTACATTAAATGTTTAGATTTCAATGGAGTACCAAAGCGACGATATGGTAGCAAATAACGCTAGAAAGATAGGATTGAGGAGGATTGGGTATATCCTAAGTTCAATGAGATCAGTAAATCGGAGGATGCGGTGAGTACATTTTTACTTCAACATTTTTTTAATTTAAAACTATTAATTTTTACAACCATCATTTTTTTCGAGTGATGCGACAACATTAGTAGTTGGATTGGGTAATTTTTAGATACAGGTTGTGATGTTAGGGTTCTTTATTTCAGGGAACTAACAAACATGTTGCCCGAAGCGGCAACAACATCCGATGATACGGTTATTGAGGAGGAGCACCTCAGAGAGAGGTTGGCGAGGAGGAGGAGGAGGAGACGAATGCGAGCGGCAACCCTCCTCGGAACAGCCCTGAGGATGGAGGTGGAGGAGCGGTCACAACAAGCGCAATCACCGGAATCAACGCCGCCCCCCACATAACCAGAATCAGCGCTGCCCCCACATCACCACACAGAACACCTCCAACATCACCACTTCGGGTACTCCCGATATCGCCAC